ACGCGTTGGAGATCTGCTCAGCTACATGCAGGTGTGAATATGAAAAATACTGATTCCAAATGTTTGAATTATTTATTTTACTACTTATTCACTGTAAGAATTAATGCACAAAATAAACTTTAAAGTGATGATGAAATTAACTGACAGCAGTTTCAAAAAAGGGAACACCAAACACACTATATAAAAGGCACAGTGTCACAATCCTTTAACAGGGAGTCCACAACAGTGGTCATAGGGAAACAATACTTGACAAAGACACATAGCAAACATGAGGGCTTAAATACACAAGACTAATGACTAGACAAGGGACACCTGTGAACAATGAAACAATTGCTGCGTCCCAATTCGCTTACTTATACGACGCCCTAAAAGTATGTATTCTTTTTGTGAGAAAAAAGTACATACTTTTGAGTGTGTAGCAAAAGCTTTGGGACATACTATCACGTCATCTTTAACGGACAGCTCTGTCGCCGCGCTCCGTGCATCCTGTCACCGTAAACTGCCCTGTCAATCATCTCGTCACAGTTAAAATCCTCCATTCTATCTAATTTTATTTCCTACCGTTTCGGAGAGCACGTTCATCTGCCAGTTGTGGGTCTTTCATGCTCTCCTCGTGTTTGCAATTTGAATAAAATGATGCATTTAAAACATAATGGCTAAACATGTCTTTACAAAAGTTCACAATGCTGCTGCAAATGCAATATAATGTGGACAACATTGAATAAATTCATTTTCGTCAGGTTAGATACTGATAATTAATCACTCAAAGCTCTTTATCTAAACCTCTCTACACAACCGCGGGGACTCGCGCGTCCTCCGTATCGACTACGTGTCTGTAGTTTAACACTTTTTACTCGTGTTTGTAGTTCTAACCGAATCCCCGTCCAACGCGCAATGGTTTGTGGGCAATATCAGCCGTTAGAGTGTGCATCGATCTACACTTCGGATTCTGACCGGAAAAAGTAGACCATCTTTGAAACACTCATTTCAACATACTACGATTTGGGACGTACTAATTCTATTTTCGAATACTATTTAGGACGGATAGTATGTGAATTGGGACGCAGCATATGACACCATTAAAACACAGAACACATGGCAGGATCATATGACTAGAACAGGGGATCACATGACAGACATGAAACAAGAACATGAAACAAAACAAAAAACGTGACGATCCCTCGTGGTCATTTGTTGTATTTATGGACTCTTATTTTGAAGTATATTTTCTGTTCATATAGTAGCAATGCTTCCCCTTCCTATTGGCCTTCGTCTGTTTCTCAGTATGTGTTCTTGTGTACTTCTGATACCTCCTCAGTCTCTGCATGAGGACTGTTCCAATTCAAAGTTCACATCAAGCCAAGTCCAGTTCAAATGCCCGGATGTCCTTTATCGAGGATGCATCGAGAGGTGACTTGTGCTGACTTGAGACAGCCAGGAATTGTCTGTTATTGTGTCACGAAATGTAGTTTTAAGAGTTTTTCATGTGAGAATGTAGTTGAGTAAAGCTCAAATCTGTGTTTTTTTAATGCTTCCAGGTTTGTGTGTGAATGAGTGGCCGGAGCGCGTTGAGAGTTTTCTGTTAGAGCGGTGTTGTGTTAGTGGCCCCTAAGTTAATAACTAATGATCTTTACAATGGAAGTGAATCAATTTATTCTAGAGCTGCTTTAAAGCCAAACAATCTCTGTCGCTGTAATCTCCTGTTATCACTGTGAAGCAGCTTTGAAACATCTGTATTGTTAAACGTGCTGTATAAATGAAGGAGACGTGACTTGAGTTGTGAGATCCAGGCGCTCAGCACTCATGTACCCATCGAGATCAGCCTATCCTCGGCTAGCGCATTTGACGTTTGCCACTGGCTCGGACGTCTCTAGTCTAGTGGTTAAACATGAGATATAACTCATCTGTATATCTGGCAGATCGTTTTGGCTGAGGGCAAAGTAAAGTTTTATAACTTATTTACGCTTTTTAACTTTAACAGTGTAGCCTTCTTGGGAGCTGACTTATGTCTGACTGAATCGTTTGCTTTATGTCTTATTGTATAGTTTCTTATATCTTTTAGGCTATATTTTATAAAGGCTATTCAGATGATGTTGGCTGTTTATTGATAATGACGACGATGATATCATCATGTAATTGCCTGAATCCCTGATCTTATTCAGTGTCTAATGTTCTGAATATATAGGACTTGTGTGTTTAATGTTGTTTTATAATAGAAGTCATTTAATATTACAGCATGAGAGCAATGTTGTTTATCAAATTATATAAAGGATTGTAAAAACATTTAATGCATACTTAGCCATCAAGAATCAGTGTATGACTCTCAACAATGGTGACAATCAATGAAATTAGTGATGCTCCGATTGATCGGCCACTGATCATGATCGGCCGATATTGGCTAAAAATAGCTTAATCGGCAAACCCCAAAAGCGCAGATCAAAAAAGCCCATCACGTGACGTAAATTACTTGTGCAACTTTTTTCCACCTGCATGCAAGGCGCATGGGTACGCAATAGCAGAGTTGCCAGTGGCAACATGAAGTGGCGTGCACACCGCCAGGCTAAATGGGGTCTTGCGCACCCAACACGCACGACCGCCCACACCGCAATTACGTCATTTTTGTCACACTGTCTGGTTCCTGATATTCTTCAAAATGTCAGAAAATCGTCTGAATGCATTCAAAAACGATAAAACGATAAAAGAAATGAGCAATCCCTGGTCACATATAGACAATATGTTGACTCCATGATCCAAAGGTTCAAAGAAAGCTGTCTGGAGTTAAATATAAGTAAGACAAAAGAGTTATGTTGTGGGAAGTTTAGTTTGTCATTATCTGAACCACTTAAGCTGGGGGGGGGGGGCAGGCAGTTGAACAAGTTGAGACCTTTACATATTTGGGCACTGAGATTGATAGGCATCTATCCTTTTCTCAACATGTGAACATAGTCTATAAGAAATCCCAAGAAGGTTGAGGAGTTTTAATGTGAGGAAAGAGATCATGATAACAGTGTATCGCGCTCTTGTCGAATCAGAATTGACCTTCAACATTGCATCTTGGTTTAATTTTGTTTCTGCTAAAAATAAGGAAAAATTAGCTAGGGTAATCAAACAGGCTTCTAAAATTATTGGGGCCCCGCAGATTCGACTAGTAGACTTATATAATTGTGCAGTGAAGAGGAAAGTAGACTCCATCGTTACTAACCCCTCTCATCCTCTGTTCAGTTCGTTACAGTTGATGCCATCGGGTGGCCGCTTCAGAGCTCCTTTGGCCAAAAAGAAGGCGTACAGGAACTCTTTTATTCCCTCTGCTATTTCAAATAAGACTAAAAAGTGTCACTTGGGCTTGAGCCTTTTGTTTTGTGTATAGTGTAAGACAGGCCTACTTTTTTACCTTGTAACAATTTTTTAAATTGTGATGTATGTGTTTATATGTTTATATGTTAGCCTTTTCAACCAAAGACAATTTTCTACCACTGGTTGGTAGATAATAAAGTTTTTTGAATTGAACTCAACTGTTTAACTCTGGGGGAGTTGTAAAATGAGCCTATTTCCAAAAAAGTGGAGTATCCCTTTACGTTATCTCATTCTAAATACAATAAAATAAACACTTGGTGTTTTTTCAAGATATTGACTGTGGACTATTTCTACTGTTTTTTTCCCCCAAATACAGTTAATTCATAGTTAGTTTCATTTCTACAAATGGTGCAAACTCTGCAAGATTATAGATAAAAGATTCCCAATCCCCTGCCATTCTGTGATCGGCAGTGATTGGCAATCGGCAGATCATGATTTTGGTGATCGGTAATCGGTGATCGGCCTTAAAAATTCTGACCCAAGCATCTCTAAATAAATAACTTCATGCTGCAGTGCATGCTGGGTTCCACCCTCCATCCCTCCATCCCTCCAACCCTCCAACCCATCCATCCACTCCATCCCTCCCTCCTGGCTCCCAATCTGTCTCTTTCTCCAGTCTTGCCTCCACTACATGGCCATAGCTTTATTGGGCTTTAATGCATCTTTAACACATCAGTCATTGATGTGATTGACACAACAACCCCCCCCCCCCCCCCCCCCCCCCCCACACACACACACACACTCTCTCTCTCTCTCAGACCACCGTACATGAACAATAAGCCCAAAAAATACTGAAGAATATCCAAAACAATGTAAATTATTTTGCATATGTTTATATATGGGAGATTTGAAGTGGGAGTGCTTAATATAATCTCTAAGCTTAAAGTTACTATTACTATCCTCTTTTCTTATAGTAAAGCTTTATCCTGCAGCAATTAGACCTCATATAACCTCTAGCAATGCCAACGAGCCATGCTGTCTGAAAACGAGTGGAGGATGGATGATTTAAATGTTTTTGTTCAAGCCACATATGGACACAATTATTCAAAATAAATGCAATATGCTGATTTAGTTATACTCTGGATGTCAGAGTCTGGTCCTTTGTATTTTTTAACTACATGTATTATTATTTTTATTGCATTTGAACTGATTAATTGTTTAAATGTAGTTTGCATAATGTGTTTTAGAAAGTGTAAGTGTGATTATTACATTTGCATATTTGCGTAAGCAGTATGCACGTTTGGATGTATTTACTCTAAATCTCGCTGAATTCATTAACTAAGGAATATGCCAATCGTTGGTGACAATGCACGATATGACTCGTTTAAATATGCCAATTTATCGAGGAAAAAAACTGCTCACTCCTAACCTGGTCGAGGGCAGATTGAATGAGATTGTAGAAATTGACGTATTCGCGATTTCCCTCTGTCCTCGCTTTCCTTTCTGCTCTCTTTCCATTCTTTTACCTCGGACTCTACATCCCTGACTCACACACTCATTGCTGGGTTATAGTCAGTAATACATGTCAGTTCTGAAGGAATGAGTTTTCCTGCTGAATGTGAGCGGAATCCCTGAAGAGTGTGAAGGCAGGAGGAGGCTGTGTGTGAGGCGGGGCAGGAGGAGTGTGTACACTCACAGCCTGTGTTCTCACTGAGGTAGTCTTCCTTCAGTGTGCCTGTAGATGTGCTCGGAGCACCGGATTATCCAGACCGCAGAACGCGCTCCCGACGCGTCACATCCTCACCAAAGCGCATGAAAGAAACCGAGCAAAGAGAGAAGAAAACAGCGACATTCACCCGTTCCCGGTCGACAGGTGAGTGCGGTGTGTGTGTGTGTGTGTGTGTGTCTCAGCGTGCGTGATTCATATTAGTAGCAGCTGTAAATAGCCCGTCATTCACACACGCTTGCATTAACATTTATTACTGTGCTCAGTCTGATGTATATTTTGTTGCATTTCTTTCTTTCTTTCTTTCTTTCTTTCTTTCTTTCTTTCTTTCTTGATTAAGCACACAATCATAAGAAAACTGGTCCTACTTTATATGAAGTGTCTTTAACCTCAATGTAATAACATTTAGGTTCATAATTTGCTGCAATGCACTTGTTGTGGACATACGTATTTAAATTGTACGTTTATATAAAAATACCTGTGTGTAATTACATTTGTAATTAATTTCTGTAATTGCATGTATAATGGCACGGTTAACCCCTTAAACGTGTAAACCCGTGCTAATCTTACTGTATCCTCCTCAGTAACGCGTGATTTACAGTACAACATCGACACAATAAGTACATTTAACATAATTATTTTAAGTAGTTGAAGACACCTAACATAGTTTTAAAAAATCAGCAACTAAATGAGAGTTTAATTGTGCTCACGTATATTCAACTGTTGTCAGATGTGCATTTCCCTGAAGATATCTGCCTTCTCTGAACAGTAATAAGAAGGAGAAACAGAAATGACAGGTTATCCAGTAGGAGTCATTCCGTGTTGGTTATTAAAGCCTGGTTTGTTTATTCCTGACCAGGACTGCTTGACTAATGTGTGATTTTAAGAGAAGTGTTAGAGAGCCTTCATGCAAATAATCCATTATGTTCATTCTGTTGGAGTTCAAAAGCTCCAGAGTGGCAAAACGTTCAGTACAAGTCCTCCATTCATTGTGTGTGTGTATGTGAGAGAGAGAGAGAGAGTGTGTGAGGGAGAGAGAGAGATAGAGTGTGTGTATAGATGCATAATGTGCGCAAATGTGTTCATGCAGAACCTCCAGTGATTAATGTTATTTTTATTCAAAGCGATCAGCTGCACAGACGAATAACACTGAAAACATCTTTATTTTACCTTCATTTCTGCAGTTTGTTTCATAGTTTGATTTGGCAACACAATGGATTCTGAAGCGGTGTGTGATATCCTCCCCCACTCGTGTCACATCAGAGCGGGGGTCAAAGGTTACATGAAGGCAGGTGTAATATGGGCTTAAATGAGCAGGGGGTCGAGTTAAAATCAATGTAAAGTGCATCCTGGGAAATAGAGCATGCAGTGAACTCCAGCTGTAGATGCGTCAGGTACATCTGTTTTCTACGGGAGAGTTATTCAGCTTATGATATATATATATATTGAGGAGCTTGAGTAACTGGGGTAGGTTTGTGTTTCTGGATACACCGAAGAGCGTTAGTCGGCTCAGAGGAGGAAGAAATCAGACTAATTAAAGTGAAAAGCAGGATGCCAATAAATGGTGTGAGAGAGAAATTTAAAACAGCTTAAGGGGTGTTAGAAGTGAAAAGATGAGGGGAAGAAAGGCTGAGCGACAAATAAATGTGTGTGTTTTTCGGCATGAGTAATCCTCCTGGGAAAACGCCGGCGCTGCCAAAGTGCCATCCAACTCCTTTCTCCGTGCGCTCTTCATCACCCTCCTCCTCCCCCAAACGTGGACTTCAGACACATGTGGGCATGAGAACGGGTGAGGACTCTTCTAGCGGCGATGATCATTCCCACCGCTGTGAAAGAGCTGCGAGCGGGTCGTCCTTCTTTCCTCTGAACTGAAGCTGTTTGATATTCACTGCACTGCCTTGAGACCTGTATCTGGTTCCCCATTAAACCTTTCAGTGTTCTTCGTGTGAAGAACATTTAAACATCCTAAAGAATCCATTTCTACTATGAAGAAGCTTTTGATTGCGTGGATGTTACAGGTTCTCCACTGAACCATCGACGCCCATAAAGAACCTTTATTCTTAAGAGTGTGTTTTCTGTAGTGGTTCTTATTCGATTTGTTCTGTGTAGAGTCGCAGGATGATCAAATATGGACGTATCATCAGCAAGATTAGACATGTTCCATCCATGATCGTTTGCATGCGGCGTAATTTCCTTCATTGAGTTGGATACATCTTTGAATAGTTTGAATAATTTTGCTTGACATCATATTATTTCTCAGTGTGAATTGTTAGCGGTCCAGCTGTGAGTGCCAGGTCAGTGTGATCGATGGGACTCACTCTTACGATCATCTCTCAGGTTTGGAGAAGAAGGCAGTGTTGTGGAAAGTAAACACACACACACATACACCCCCCCAGAACAGTGTGAATCAGTGCGCGTGAGATTCTGTTTGTTCATTGTGCAGCGATTATCAAAAAAACATTAGCATTAGGATCCATACATCACACATATTTCCTCTTCCGAGTGTGTGTTGTTCCCCTCCCCCTCAGATGCACGAACCCTCGGCTTCCACTCGAGGCTCTGGCTTTGTGAGGATCTTTGTGTGCACTGTCGGAGATCGCGGGCCATTAATTTCACTCTTGAGAATGTAAATAAGTAAATGTGTGGGAGCGCAGAGCCGTTACTCACTCGATCCGAGAGCTTTATCACCCTCTGCCTCTCTGAAGGGACACGCATGAGAATCCAGTGCGCACACAATGCCAGCTCCCACAATGGCACCCTATGCCCATCTCCATCAGCTTCCGTCTCTGTCCTTCCCGAGCTCCGGGAACACAGGCCCGCTGTGTGTTTACCTCCGGCTGGGGCCAACACAGCACAAAACAATCCCCTTCATTGCCTGTTTGTCAGCCCTGAGGCTTTTGAAAGCCTGCGAAAAAAAAGAGAGATGGGAAAACAATTAAAAGCCCCTCCTGAACGCTGCACTAACATTTTCCCAGCTCAGGGAGCCTGTGAACAGGGACAGAGCCTCTAAACGGCTCCATTATCCCTGCGCTCTCGGCCGATGCCAGAGCCGCTTGTGTCTGAATGAAACACTCACACAGAGAGCTTTTGTGGAGCAACTTGGCAGAACACAAGCGCTGGTTAATTAAGATCTATCTATCTATCTATCCAATAATCTATCTATCTATCTATCTATCCATCCATCCATCCATCCATACATCCATCTATCTATCCATTTATCTATCTATCTATCTATCCATCTATCTATCCATCCGTTCATCCTGATATTTAGTTGCAGACGTGGCTCAGCTGATGACCGTGTTCCACCTTTATGAGTGAAATAGAGTTGAGAATAATGTTGCAAATTCAGTGTATAATTCTAAACAAACAAAGGCTCTTTTGACTAGCATTGCATTTCTGCGATTTACACATATTTTGTCAACAAGATTGCATGTTGATATAGTCACAGTAAGTGTCTAAAGATGATAAACGTGAGAATGAGATTGAGCTGAGAATGAGATTGAGCTGAGAATGAGATTGCGCTGAGAATGAGATCGCACTGAGAATGAGATCGCACTGAGAATGAGATAGCCCTGAGAATGAGATTGCGCTGAGAATGAGATCGAGCTGAGAATGAGATAGCCCTAAGAATGAGATTGCGCTGAGAATGAGATCAAGCTGAGAATGAGATGGAGATGAGAATGAGATAGCACTGAGAATGAGATTGCGCTGAGAATGAGATAGCACTGAGAATGAGATTGCGCTGAGAATGAGATCGAGCTGAGAATGAGATTGCGCTGAGAATGAGATAGCCCTGAGAATGAGATTGCGCTGAGAATGAGATCGAGCTGAGAATGAGATTGCGCTGAGAATGAGATTGCGCTGAGAATGAGATCAAGCTGAGAATGAGATGGAGCTGAGAATGAGATAGCACTGAGAATGAGATTGCGCTGAGAATGAGATTGAGCTGAGAATGAGATGGCACTGAGAATGAGATTGAGCTGAGAATGAGATCGTGCTGAGAATGAGATCGAGCTGAGAATGACATTGCGCTGAGAATGAGATTGCGCTGAGAATGAGATAGCACTGAGAATGAGATTGCGCTGAGAATGAGATCGAGCTGAGAATGAGATTGGAGAATGAGATTGCGCTGAAAACGATTTTGCGCTGAGAATGAGATCGAGCTGAGAATGAGATTGCACTGAGAATGAGATAGAGCTGAGAATGAGATCGCGCTGAGAATGAGATTGAGCTGAGAATGAGATTGGAGAATGAGATCGTGCTGAGAATGAGATCGAGCTGAGAATGAGATCGAGCTGAGAATGACATTGCACTGAGAATGAGATTGCGCTGAGAAAGAGATTGAGCTGAGAATGAGATTGCACTGAGAATGAATCACACTGAGAATGAGATCGAGCTGAGAATGAGATTGGAGAATGAGATTGGAGAATGAGATTGCGCTGAGAACAAGATTGTGCTGAGAATGAGATTGAGCTGAGAATGAGATCGCACTGAGAATGAGATCGAGCTGAGAATGAGATTGGAGAATGAGATTGAGCTGAGAAATGAGACCGAGCTGAGAATGCAATTGGAGAATGAGATCAAGCTGAGAATGCGATTGGAGAATGAGATTGCCCTGAGAATGAGATTGCACTGAGAATGAGATCAAGCTGAGAATGAGGTCGAGCTGAGAATGAGATCGCGCTGAGAATGCGATTGAGCTGAGAATGAGATTGCCCTGAGAATGAGATTGCCCTGAGAATGAGATGGAGCTGAGAATGTGATTGCTGAGTTATGGGTCGACAGTTCAAGATAGCTTCCATTTCACAGAGAAATGTCTGAAGACCCTCCTCATCTATGTAATAAGATAGATCCTTTGGCAAGATAGCTGGATGTTTGGTTTCCACTGGCATGGATGCACAACTGAGTCTTCCGCCAACACAGGGAATTCTGTCTTGAAGTACTGAACTTAACTTGATTATGTGACTTCCTCTACTAAGTCACATAATTCTTTCCTTTGCAGTGCAAAGATCTCTTTATGAAATTTCCTTTGAGTAGTAAATTTTCCTGGCAGTACTGAATGATTGCTAGCTCGGCTCGCTGAAGCTCATCAACTGTGAGATTCTTTCCCCAAAGTGCATGATGTTTCTATTTGTCCCGTTCAAGTT